AACCCAGGGATCACTGGACAGTGATCGGGGACGGGATCCCTGTCTGATTTTCCCTCTCTGTCTAGCCGAGGGCCTGATGGCTGTGAATGCTCTGACAAGAACAGCCCTTTCCCTCAAACTGAGAATGTTTGCGGGTTTTTTTTTAAACCTTGCCCTCCCTCCCATCCCCTCCCTTCCCTTTGTGAAATGACTGTGACCTCACACAGCCACTAGGCCTCATGCCCTTTGAATTGTGCCTCAGTTTAGTTTGAGCAGCGTGATTTTCAGGCACTTTATGATACACGATTTATTGAGGGGTTATGTCTGAATGTGACAGCAGTCTGCGAGAGATGGAGCATTTGCTGTGTCGTTACAACGAGGATGACTGTGAGTGAAGATCAGGTCTCAGTTCTTAAAAATCTGTTTGCGTGCAGGTTCAGAACCTTTCGGGGACAGACTGCGCAGATCTGAGGAATGGTCACAGACCTGTAACATTGACTCTGCACAGGTGCTGAGCCTCCCCAGCAATTTCTGCGTTTGTTTCTGACCCGCAGTTCTCTGGTTTTGCGAAGCGTTTCCTTCTTAGTCTCGTGTCCAGAGCCTGGGATATCCTCGTGTCCTAACTGGATAGCAGGCCATTCTGTCCACGCTAGCTTTTTTTAAAAAATGCTATTCACTGATGCGATGTGGTTAGCATTCATTGCCCCGTCCCTAGCTGCCCCCCTTGAGAAGGTGGGTGTGAGCTGCCTTCTTGAACCACTGCAGTCCATGTGCTGTGGGGTGACCCACAATGTCCCTTAGGGAGGGAATTCCAGGGATTCTGACCCAGCAACACTGAAGGAACGGGGATATATTTCCAAGTCAGGACGGTGAGTGGCTCGGAGGGGAACCTGCAAGGAGATGATAAGACCATAAAAATAGGAGGAGGCCATTCAATAGGATCATGGCTGGCTCGATATTCCTCACATCCACTTTCCTGCCTTTTCCCTGTAACCCTTGATTCCCCGACTGATCAAGAATTTCTCTCTCTCAGCGTTAAATATTCCACAGGGACTCTGCCCCCTATAGCCCTCTGTGGCAGAGAGTTTCGAAGACTGAATGAAAATTTCTCATCTCCCTTTATTCTGAGACTGTGCCCTCTGGTCCCAGACCCTCCCACGGGGGGAAACATCCTCTCAGCATTGACCCTGTGAAGCCCCTTAACAATCCGATATATTTCAATGAGATCCCCTCTCATTCCTTTAACCTCCAGTGAGCGCAGTCCCAACCTGTTTAACCTTTGCTCAGAAGACAGTCCCTCCATCGCGGAGATCATCCCAGTGAACCTTCTCTGAACTGCCTCCAATGAAATGCTATCTTTCCGTAAATAAGGGGACCTAACCTGCTCACAGTGCTCCAGATGTGGTCTCCCCAGCACCTTGTACAGCTGCAGTAAGGCTTCCCTTCTCTCATACCCCAACCCCATTGTAATAAGGGCCAACATTCCACGACACTTCCTGATTCCCTGCTGCCCCTGTGTGTTATATTTCTGTGTTTCATACACAAGTCTCTTTGTGCTGCAGCTTTCCACGAATAAATCTGCTCTTTTGTTGTCCCTTCCAAACAACTTTTCCCACACGGTACTGCCAGCAGATCCCGATGTGGAAAAAAGCCCTGTTTCCCCATTCGCGGTTTCCTGCCCATGAGCCAAGCCAACAACAACAGGCTGTTGTAACTGCACCTTCAGTGAGGTACCTTGTCCAAAACCTTCTGGAACTCCAAGTACAACACATCTACTGGTTCCCCTCTATCTACTCTGGTCGAGACTTCCTCGAAAAACTCTTTTAGTCAGACGTGAATCCACACTGACCCTGCTTGTTTAGATCCTCATTTTGCCAGAAGCTCTGTTATTAATTCCTTAAAACTTGATTCCAATACTTTTACCAACAATAGACATCAGCCTAATCGGCCGATAGTTACCAATTTATGCCTCCATCCCTTTTTTGAATAGGGCTGTCACATTGTCATTTTTCCCAAACTCTTTTCTCCACAATCCAATGATTTTGGAAAAGTTTTTAACCGATGCATCAGAATCTAAGAAATGGCCTGTTGACGCTGCTCCACCACTGTGGCTGATCTTTTTCATGGAATCCTGACAGATTGGGAAACAGGCCATTCAGCCTGATAAGACCATACAATCCCTGCCGCCCGCCCCACCCCCAGAGCTGTAGCTCTGCATTTCCCATGGCTAACCCACCTGGCCTGCACATCCCTGGACACTACGGGCAATTTAACACAGCCACTCCCACCCAATCTGCACACCTTTGGACTGTGGGAGGAAACCCACGCAGACACAGAGAATGTGCAAACTCCACACAGACAGTGGCCCGAGGTTCCTGATGCTGTGAGGCAGCAGTTAACCCACTGAGATACTACGGACTCAGCTCCACTTGCCCACCCACTCAGCATAACCCTGAATTTATTTACTGTTCAAAACTCTGTCTGTGGCCTAAAAACATTCAACAAGTCAGCCTCAACTGTGGGGGGAGTGGGATGTTTGGATGTGGTGTCAATCGAGCCGGGGGGCTGCTTTGACCTGTTTAATTGCATACTCACTGAGATACTGACCCTCCGACAGTGCGGCGCTCCCTCAGCACTGACCCTCCGACAGTGGGGTGTAACAGGGACTCGGTGTGTTCTCTCTCCAGGTCCGGGCCATTCCAGTTCTCGGTGCGAGTGGCCGGAAGCTGGCGTTCCGGAGGTACCAGTGAGGAGGCGCCATTGCCTGTACAGCACACCCTTTGAGCAGCAAGGAAGAGGAGCAGGGGGTCCTGAGGCCGTTTCGGAATCGTGCCCCTCAGACGGAGGGCTGGTTCCTGCCCGGGAGGAGATGGGCCCAGCGTTTGGCGAGGTCCTAGTCTCACGGCCCCTGTCCAGCTCTCTCTGGAGGGAGAGGGAGGAGGCGAAAGCTGAGGCTCGTTTACAAAGGGAGACCCAGGCTCTGGTGAATGGACTGGGCCACAATGTGTTGGCGGAGCGAGAGGAAGGTTCTGTCACTGCCCTGCGAGCCGGATACCCCCGCAAGAGGAGTGCGAAGACCAGGCACTGACAAACTGTTTCCTACCCTCCCTGAAAGCTCCTGGATTCTGAAATGATTCTCCTGATGACCTCTGTATTGGACATGCATTACGAACATATGTGAATCAGGCAAAGATGCAAAGTCTGATCCCATTGGCCTCCTGGTATTGTTTTCCAATGTTCATTCACTGCCTCTGCCAGCATTTATTGCCTGCCCCTTGAGAAGGTGGGGGTGAGCTGCCTTCTTGAACCGCTGCAGTCCATGTGCTGTGGGTTAACCCACAGTGTCCCTTAGGGAGGGAATTCCAGGGATTCTGACCCAGC